ACACACACACACACACACTCACACGCACGTACACACACCTGCACGCACGCACAAACACACGTACGCGCGCGCGCGCGCGCACACACACACACACACACACACACACACACTCACACGCACGTACACACACCTGCACGCACGCACAAACACACGTACGCGCGCGCGCGCGCACACACACACACACACACACACACACATACACACACGCACGCACAGACGTACGCGCGTACACAAACACACATTCACATTATTAAATAATAAATTAAAAAATTAAAAAATTAAAAATAAAAATAAATAAATAAATATATATATATTCAGAGATATTATAAAATTATCTAACGATAACGGGAACACCATATACGCAATCCATCTCTTACATGTACTTATTCCTACAAGAATACGATACGTTCGTGCTTTTGCTTTCTATTTGTGGCTTGCAGATGCCAGAGCGAGATTTCAAAAACGTCACTGTTAAAGTACACATAGTTAGAGTTTACACAGCGACACACAGGGCAGCGGAGTAACGATAATGCATGTATCATAGTTTCTCTGATTCGTCATGTTATGACTAACGAGAAAAATACATTAAAAAATCTTCCCCTTCCCTTAAAATTGCAAACATCGAGGCTTGTTGCATAAACATCTCGCATTACCCATTTCGCTCTCTATCCCGCGCGCTCTCTCACCCCATCTCCCTCACATCTCTCACTCTCTTTCTCATTCTCTTTCCCAGCTATCTCTCACTCTCTATTCATTCTCTCTTGCGCTCGCTCCCATCTCTCGCTATCCATCAATCCCCCTCTCCCCTTTCTCCATCATTGTTGAACGATGTCAATAAGCCATGCATGAATCACGTGCAACTGCAGATAACTGTATATAGTAGGTACGTCGCCTATCGGCCGCCTGTTTAGGTAGAGAAAGGTATGTAGCTTGGTATATCCACGCTGAAGCGTGTAACGTGATCGGGTCAGCACTGTAATGATGCGGCGACACGAACTCTTTCTTTGCCGAGCAATCTGCGCGTACACCTGCATGTCTGCTCACTTACCCGCTGATCGATGCAGGCTGATCAAGTGACACAGCCAGAGAGCGGGGAAGAGATGGAGAGGCTGAGGGATATAGAGTAGGGAGAGTAAGAGGAGCAAATGGAGAGGGAGAACGAGTTTTAGCGAGAGACGGAGGGCATGTAGGATATCGAGGGAGAGAGAGGAGCAGAGGGAAAACGAGGCGCGAATGGAGAGAAATGGAGAGCGTGGAAAGAGTGAGAGGGGCGGGGAAAGATATTTATGTATATATGTATTAGATATATTATATATTAGATATTATCAGGAGTGAATAATGATAGATATTATCTGTTATATCTATTATTATTCACTCCTGATATTATGCATACAAGGTAGAATAGCGCGCAGTGTGTTTTAGCCGATACCGTTTGCTGTCTGCATGCGTGCATGCATGCGTGCAGCATGCGTTAAGCCTTGTCTCTGCTCTCTCACGACACGGCAATATTTAAATATGACCCATCTAACACAACATCAAATGGCACGCAACATCTCACCAGCCAACCCGCAGCATACGCCATGTCCCGTCGCGTCACGTCATATCATATCATGTTACGTCATGTACCGTCACGTCACATCACGATACGTCATGTCACATCACGATAAGTCATATCACGTCACATCACGTCATGTCACGTCACATCACGTCATGTCACGTCATGTCATGTCATGTCACGTCACGTCACGCCAGCTCACACACGGAATGACATACTTACGGTGTGACGTATCGGGGCGTGACGTCACGAGGAGTAAACGTGTGGAAAGAATGAGCGTACGGGAAAAGTAAACGTACGGTATACGGGTTACGATAAACATTCGTACATATAACGTACTTACAGTACGGGTATTTACAGTACAAATAAACATAGTACGGGAGGAGTGAACGTAGGGGAGGAGTAGGCGCATGGGCGGAGTAAACGTACTGGAGCTGTGAACGTACGGAAGGAGTGAGCGAACTAGAGGAGTGGACGTACGATAGTAATGAACCTACGGTACGAGTATACGGCATGCGCTATTTGTGATCTTAAGTACGAGTGAATATAAGGTAGGAACATACGCAGGGAAGGAGCGAACGCAAGAAGAGGAACAAACATACGGGAGGAAACAGCGTAAGCAAGGAATGAACGTATGCATTAACCACATTAGTTCACAACGTATGAAGTCATTTGATATAGTATTAAATAAAGCAAATCCGTAGAATATTCACAGGAATCTCAACTATATCATTTTAAACTTGCCATTCGATCTTCCCCACTTCTTTTTCCGACTTAATGTATCTGAGGTCACGCGCCGTGATATCACGTGAAAGCGCGCGACACGGGTCAGGTGTATATATTAGACATCATAAAATGTGATATCAGAGAGTGACGAGAGTTGAGTGTGTCTGTATTGGGGGATAGAGACAGATAGAACCAGAAATATAGAAACGGAATAAAATGACGGAGGTATGGGCGAAGAAGGTGAGAGAGAGGAAGGGGAGAGAGAACAAGAGAGAGAGAGACAGAGAGAGAGACAGAGAGAGAGACACAGAGAGAGAACGAGAAAGAAAGAGAGCGAGAGAGAGAGAGAGAGAGAGAGAGAGAGAGAGCGGGGGTAATAAGGACGATATAACTGGTTACGAGCACAGCACCAGGAACGACAGCAACCGTCGTCAGACGGCGCCACGTACAGTCGAGCCGAAACCTCGCCGGGTCCCGGTCTGTTGCTATTACTGGAAACGAATAAAATTACGTAAACATTGAGATAGGAAAATATTTCATAGAGATTAACTTTCCTCGTTGATCGGCTATGTACAGCTACATACTATCAGGTGATACTATCAAGAGTAGATAATAACACATGTGTTATTACGT